AAAGCACACATATGTGGAAAGAGAAAAGATGTTTCCTGAAGCTGTGTACAAGTTACAAAGAGAGAAAAAGGCAAGGTTTTAGCTACAATTACCTATACGTATCAAAGAACTCAGATTACATTTTGTCATTCTCAGGTGTATTATATGTAAAACAGTGATGTTATTTAAGAAGGTGTAGTATCAGCTTTTTTTCTTTTTTTTTTTTTTTTGCCCTCAGCTACACTTTGTTTCCTCAATTTATGTATTTCCTGACTGAGCTCTCCCAGCTCCATCCACTTCCTGTCCCCCCTACCAACTGGGAAAAGCGAGATTGTGTCATTTTTTTACTCATGATTGAATGAGTGATTGAATCTTAATTAAAACTCCCACCGAACTATTGTCTCAACTTGAACCTGAAACCTTTTAATGTGGAATTAAGCGCTTCCTTCCTATTTAAATAAATGGTCAGGCATCAGCAAACAGATGAATAAATATATTGGGGGAGGAAGGTGGAAGGGCTCCTGGAAATTACATCAAGTGTTTGGCTGGACCAGGAGGCAACCTGCTTTCATCCATTTGGGGTGACCTGGGGAGGTGGGAGCACAGTCCCTCCTCACCAAGCTTCTCCCTGCTTGTAGGGAAGCGCTGGCCTCAGCTGAGGCTGCTGGGAGCTCCCTGTGATATCGGTAATAACCACCTCCCCAGTATCTCATCCAGTCTTCACAGGGGCAAGTGGAGGGTCAGGGATGCCAAGGCCACATGGCTGTTAAGTGCTAGAGCAAGGTTTCACCCACGGGCCTCACCCCAGGCCACTGTCTGCCATCTCTCTGTGTTGCTAGCTTCTCCCAGGACCTCTCCTTGTTCCCTGAACTCTATTCAGTGGTCCCACCCTCGTCTTCCTTGAGCTCAATGAACTCTCCCATCTGTGGCAATTCCATCTGCACCTCGATCTACAGAATCAGGTTTTATTGGCTAATATTTAATGATGTTTTCTATCGTAATTTCTCATGTCAATCCACTGATCTGATCGACTGTCCTATCCCTTTGCGTCTTATATGATTTCTACCCGCTGTTGGTGGTGGTGTATCACTTGAACACACCCACTCTATAGAAGAGTTGAGTTTATGTGGGCCTACTCTACTTATTTTTGGATGAAGATTTTGTGATTATCTGAAATGAGCTCCCAGGCAAAGGCACAACTAACCCTACGGGCCTCTGATGATGTGTGTACACAACTATTGCCATTCAACAAGTACTCTGAGCACCTGCTACATGCTCGGTTCACTGTTCAAGTGCTGGGACAGACCAGAGAACAAACACATCTCTGCCCTCATGGGGCATACATTCTAGTGGGGGAGACAGTAATTTTTTTTTAAATACAGATATAAATAAAGGCTAAAGAGTAAAATAAATTGGACTAAAGAAAATGAGGTTATTAAATAATAAGCCTAGATTCTTGTATGGTTTAATCATTCCTATTACTTTATCACGGACACAGCAAGATAAGTTACTAAACAGTAAAATTTAATCCCTAACTTGCTAAACAAAACAATTATTGCAAGAATGACAAAATAAAAACAAAACCACCCTCTTTGCTCTTTACAAAAATATTTTCACTCCTCTCTTAGGTAAATTGATAATTGCTCCTTACCTTCACCTACCTTACTTTCCTGTTCCAACATGGACAAATACTTTCAAAAGCAGAAATCACAAAGCAATTTAAGATCATCACCTGTGAACGGGGTACCCTGAGTCCTCACGGGATGGTGGCTGGCAAAGGCAGCCTCATCTCTCACCCCGAATGGGGAAGGCACGGTCTCTACAACAGGAGTTTCTGCTATGAAAGAGTCAAAGTCATCCTCCTCCTCTTCTAGTTCTTTCTTCTCCTTTTCTCCTTTGCAGTCTTCTTCCTTCATTTCTTCCTCTGTGAGAAGCAAGGGATCCGGTGGGGAGAAATTCTGTTCTATCAAGCCCTCGGGACCAGAATCCAGTTCCTTAATGATTTGGTCATACTGGGCAATGAAATCTGTGCTCTCTGGGTTAATCATGATTAGGTTTGAACTGTGCTCTGCATCGGAGACAGGGGGTGTTAACTCTGAGCCCGATTCCTGGGCCACTGCAGGCTCATCCTCTCGCTTTGGTTCCTCGGATACATTTTGAAACAGGTCTGAATTATCCCTACTATGCTCCTCTTCCATACCTGTCTCCGGCTGGGGACCGGGAAGGGGGCCGTTGTTCACGGGGGGACTCTGAGCCTCGGTCTGGGCTTCGGCAGGTGGCCTTGCATTTTCCTCCCGTGAGTCCCTGGTGTCTTCAGAGTCCTTCTCAGCACATAGCCTGTACACCATCACGTCGTCCTGAAAGTCTGATTCTTCGATGTAGGGCCCTTTGAAGAGCAGGATGGCATTTTTCTTCATCTCTTGGATGTGTTTGGGGGGGTCAATGGTCACCAGGGGACCCGAAGTCTCCACATCGTCGTAAGGCCCAGGAGAGGCCACGTCAGCCCCAGAGGAGATCCCAGTGTCGTAGCTGTCATCCCATTCCAGCTCTGTCTGGCTCTTGTCCCTCCTCGGAGCCAGCCGAGGTCCAGTCTTCCTGTGAAGCTGCTGCGGGAGCCTGAGCACGGGGTAGACTGAGCTCCCGGTGCCCTCCTCTGTCTGACTCTGGAGAAGCGCCTCGGGGTCGGGGGAGTCTCCGTCGTACAGCGCAGACCAGACGCGGCAGTCCCTCATGCAGCGCAGGATGCTGCTGTGTGCCTCCCACAGGTACTGCAGGTAGCTGATGTCCAGCGCCCTCCCATACTCCACGATGCAGGCCGACGGCGACGTCGCCTCGGGCAGTGGTGGCTCCGTGGGCCCTGCGCAGGAGGCAGAGGGTTGTCAGAGCGAGGGACAGACGGGACAGCTGGGGACGCGCTCATTCAGGCAAAGATTGTCTCCCCAGCTACTCTCACTCTCATAATTTCTGATTAAATGATTTTTGAATAACAAGAAATGGTTACATTTTAAAAAGGATGCTGCCTTCCAGGGAACTATCAGGATGTTGATATGTGCAAAACAGTATCCTACGAGTCAAGTCATATTCACTACCAAATAGTCATTTTAACCTAAGAATGAATGCCTCCTGTGTTACTATATGACTGCCTTTGATGTTAAAAGTTCCAACCCTCATTACTGAAATAGCTGTGAAAACATATGCATTTAACTTTATATTTTCCCTAAAATAAAGAGACTCAGACAAGGAAAAATATATATTCTACCATTTCTTAAACATCTAGTATGTTGC